CTGGAACTGGAGTTAAGGATGGTTCGTAGCTGCCATGTGGGTGCTGGGAATCAAACCCGAGTCCTCTGCAAGAGCAGCCAGTGCTCTTAACTGCTGAGCTATCTCTCCAGCCCCAATTATTATTTTTTGAAACAAAGTCTTACTATGTAGCCCTAGCCTGCCTGGAACTTAGTGATTTGCCCCCACCCTCACCCCCAAGTGCCAGGACTACAGGTGTGAACCACCACACCCAGCTTCAGGTGATATTTTTAAAAATACCCTAAGATCCTTCTTTTCAGCAAAGTTGTACTCCAATATACAAATAAGAGCTGAACCCTCTCACCCACCCAGGTCTGGAGGGATGGCTCAGTGATTAAGAGCACTGGTTGCCCTCCAGAGGACCCAGGTTCAGTTCCCAGCACCTACATGGCAGCTAACAACTGCCCACAACTCCAGTTCCAGGTTATCCAAGCGCCCTCTTCTGGCCTCCTCAGGTTCATACACTTATACACATAAAATAAAAATAATAAATAAAATATTTTTTAAAAATTGCTCCCTGGAATGGGTGTGGTATGAGCACCTTTAATCCTAGCATTCAGGAGGCTAAGACAGGAGGATTACAAATCTGAGGCCCCTAACTGAGACTGTGTCTCAAAAATTAAAATAAATAGGGCAAGGTTTGGTGGCACATGCTGTTAATCCCAGCCTTCAGGAGGCAGAAGCAGGTGGATCTCCGTGAGTTCAAGGGCAGCCTGGTCTACATAGAGAGTTCCAGGTCAACTGGAGCTACAGGGAGACCCTGTCGAAAAAAATCATCATAAAATAAATAAAATAAACACCTTGGTACTTCACATAATTATGGGGACAAACAGACTGTACCCATGGGTAATATGGGCAAAGGTGGACGGGGCAGACTGGAGGGAACATGCCCATCTAAAGAGGAGGCCTTGCTTACTTATTCTGTTCCTACTGGACACCCTTTCAGAGAGTAAAACAGAAAACTGCAGGGAGAGCAATGCACTGTGCTGCTTTTGATCTGTAAGTGAGCCAGGGGCTGCCAGATTCCAGCCCCTGCCTCAGCCATCCAGGAGCCTCTCCCTGACTCTCCTTGTGATGTGACTGTATCTTGCATCCACACATAAAACAGACCAGCATCAAGCCATCCTTGACTTCTTCCTCTCCTCCATAAAAAGCCAAATAGCAGAGGCTGCTGGTCGTGGAAGGTGGGGGGGGGAGGTGGGTGGGAGAGGGCTGGTTTGATGGATCACACACTTTCTGGACCTGATGGGCAGCCCAGTTATCTCATTTTGCAGAAGGTGGTCCAGAGAGAGAAAACAACTTGTGCAAAGTGACATGGCAGACTGACAGGAGATGAAGTTTAGAGTGCAGAGAGATAAACAGATACACAGAGGCTCAGGGAAGGCCAAGTGACAGACCCTGATGTCTTAGACTATGGGACACAAGTGTCAGAACTATTATAGATGCCAGGATGAAGCATGAAATGATACTATTAGAAATTGGGAAACAACTTTCCCTAGCAGAGCATTAAAGGCTTCTGGAAGGCTGGGCACAATCTGCTTTAAATATGTGTGTGTGTGTGTGTGTGTGTGTGTGTGTGTGTGTGTGTATGTATATGAAGCCAGGTATGGTGCATGCCTTTAATCCCAACATTTAGGAAGCAGAGGCAGGTAAGCTCTGTGAGATTGAGGTCAGTTTGGTCTCTATAGTGAGTTCCAGGCCAGCTGGGGCTACAGGGAGACTATGTGTGTGTGTGTGTGTGTATATATATATATATATATATATGACATATATACATATAGTACATGTGTGTGTGCACGTGCAAGCATGTAAGGTCAGAGGTCAGCTTTCAGGATTTGGTTCTCCTTTCACTATTTGAGTCCTAGAAATTGAACTCAGGTTGTCAGGCTTGGCAGCAAACACCTTTATCTGCTGAATCATCTCGTTTGACCTTCTTCTTTAAATTACTTAATTTCTCTTGAGACAATATCTTGCTATGTAGCCCAGGCTTGCCTCAAACTTACTAGAGTTGTCTTCTTGCTTCATCCTCCCAAGTGCTGGGATTATCAAAACATTCACCGCTACATTCGGCAGCATTCTGGGAGTGTGCTTAGTTTTGGAAAATTCAAAGTGCCATACTAAGGATCATGTGTGTTTTGATATATGTCATATTTTAACATGAAGTTTAAAAAACATTGACTTGGGGGGTGTTAAAGCAGGGTCTCATGTAACCCAGGCAGGCCTCAAACTTACTAGGTAATCAGTGATGACCTTGAACATCTGATCCTCCTGCCTCTACCTCCTGGTGCTAAGATCCAAGCATACAGTACCATGCCTGGTTTATGGGGTGCTGGGGATTGGACTTAGGGCTTCCTCATGCATGCTAGGCAAGTACTCTATCAACTGAGCCACATTCAGCCTATTGTTTTGTTTTGAGACTGGATCATGGTAAGTTGCCCAGGATAGCCTGGATCTTACTATTACAGCCTAGGCTGGCCTCTTGCCTCAGCCTCCCAAGGGTTGGATTGCATGCTTGCACTTGACTATAAAGATGTTTTAAACATCTCTTAAATGAGGGCTAATTTTCCCCTTCAGCCAATGGAGAAGAGGCCTTGGGTTTAGATCCTTCTGCACATGAGAGACTGGGTAAATTTTAATAAGCATTGTATTAATTTCCATGGTAAGTGATTCTGGTTTTCCACTCATGAAATTTCCATTTAAAAACCATTTATTCAACTGTTGAAAAATGAAGTAATTCATGAGTTGGTAATTGTTGAAACTGATTGCTGGGTTGGGGGGGCATTTTTGTTACACCCTTTTGTCTATTTTTGTATCTGCTTCACATTTTCCATAATAAAGTGTTCTTTAAAAAGTTGAACCACTTAACAAAATTATTATGTAAATAATAATCCACAGTGGTGCATAGATACATCAGAGATAAGGACACAGATCCCAGCAGCTGGGGGAAACACTGACCCAGGGGAGAAGGAGAGAGGTGGAGAGGCAAAGGCGGGGACCAGAGGAACAGAGTGAGGTACTGACAAACCCAGAGCTGGAAAGGGGAGGAAAGACCCTTCACTGCTTCTCACTGGCTTCCTGGAAAGGAGGAAGGCTATGCTGGGGCCAGGAATGGCAAAGAAGATGGGCACACATTCCCAGGATGGAGGCAAATACCAAGCTTGAGATCAGAAAGTCAAGAGCTGAGGGCCCTTTTAGCCAGTAGAAAGGACACTTGCCCACAAAGTACTTAGTATTCCCAGCCCCGGGGGCGGCGGGGGGCTGGTGCCTGATGTGGAAGGGACCTCAGGGGGTCATCCAATCTCCAATCTGACTGCCCTCCCCTGCCCCTGTGTTAGAGAAGGGAAAACTGAGAGACTCAGAAAAGGAAGTGATTTTCCCATGATCACAGAGCAATGCTGTGGTTGGGTGAGGAGCAGTTCCAAGAGTCCCACCTCTGGTCACCCACACTGTTATCATTCCCTTTAAGCCTCTGGACTTGCCTGTTGCCCACCACTACTCCCCACCAGGCTGGAGGATGGAGACCTGGGCCCAAGAAGCTTCTTGGGAGCCCCAATACCTAGCACAGAACCACATCTGGATTCAGAGTTCGAACCACCAGCTGGCCCTAGCCTCCCCATCACCCTCTCCTATATCCCTGGTTCCGCTGGCTCCTGTGTGTGTGTGTGTGTGTGTGTACCCAGGCACATGTGGCTGTGCACTGTCTATGGACAGTGGTGCTGAGGAGTCAAGATTCCATTCCAACCTAGGAAGAATGAAAGTGAGGTGTGTGTGTGTGTGTGTGTGTGTGTGTGTGTGTGTGTGTGTGTTGGGGAACAGGGGTGCTTCAGGCCCCTTTGGCCAGGGAAGTCGGGATGGGGGTGGGGCCCTGGCTTCCTGTTGTTCATCACCCTGGGGCTCCGGGGGGGATTTCCCTGGCCACCCCCACCCCCTAGGGAAGGGGAAGGAGTCTGAGTGAGTCACAAGCCTGGGGTGGGAGCCCAGGGGTGAGAAAAGAAGAGGCAGGGGAACCTTGTTACCATGCACTCTTGCAGGACCTGGGCCCATGACAGACATGCCAAAGCCCGCCCCCCCCAATACCACCCCCTTTCCTGGATGTTCCCATGGGTGCTTACCTTGGTGCTGGGGCCAGTTGGGGACACAGAGAATGGGGAGGCCTTATTCTGGGGATTCTGCAAAGACAGAGATGGGGCAGGGGGATGGGAATGGTGTGAGGAAGAGCGTTGGACACAAGCCCCTCCCAGAGGCTGCTCCCTCCTCCCTTTGCTGCCCCCGTGCCCGGCATCTGTGAGCTCCGGACCTGATGGTTAATGTCTGGTCCATTTCTCTCAGGGTCTGCAAAGAAAGGGAAAGGGCATGCTGTCAGCCACCCCTGCGTACCTTTCTCCTCCAGCCCCTCCCTGCCTCTGCCCTTCCTCACTCACCTGTGTGTTCTGATGGGGAGTCCAGACCTTGCTTCTCGGCCTCCAGGGGCTTAGACATTCTTATTTCTGGGGACAGAGAAGGGAAGAAAATGAAGGAGAAGAAGCCAGGAGGGCTCTCAGACCCTCCCTCTGCCACACCCCTCCCCAGACCCCCTACACCTTTGAAGTATCTCCTTCAGAAAATTCTGGGCCTCTGCTCTCCCTTGGAAGGACAAGAAAGGGCACCTCCAAAAAGTGGTGTCACCTGTTGTGAGGCTCTGGGGCAGGATGGGGGCGTAGATGATGGTCACAAAAAGACATCAGCTGTCTGGGAGGGAGCTGCTGGGGTTCCACAGGAGCCAGTGCAACCTCTGGTATCCTCCCCAGGTGGGCAGCCAAGGCGCCCATCCTGCTTCACCAGGTTTCAAATGAGACATGTTTTCCACTCTGAGTGGGGCTGAGGAGATGTGAAGGGGTTGCAATATCCCCAGTGGAAGGAGCTGTCAGATGTCAGGGTGTGATTCAGCCATCCTCTGGCCCACTACTTTCCCTGTCCCCACGTTACTCCCACTGGCCTTCCATCTTGTGTGAAGTCACAGACCTGGCAGCCCCACCCTGCTGCTCTTTAACCCCAACACCATCCACCTCCACCCTGACCCCAACCTTTGAGCCAGACTTTACCAGACCCAAAGCCTTGAATCCCAGGTGCACTCTCAAATCTACCCCCAATTCTGTAGTTCCCAATACCCAGGAAGGGAAAGGAGGTGGCCGGGGGAAGATGGCAGGTAGTGAGCCAGACACCAGAGGGACAAATGTCCTCAGTGTCCACACCTGCCATTGAAAGGTATGCGTTTACCAGCACCAAGCACAGAGCTAAACAGGAGGCAGAGCTCACATGAGCCAGTGGTACTAATATTGTCCTGTTTTGCAGAGGAGGAAGCTGAGGCCAAGGGCTGTGACCACCCCCAAATACCTAGGAAATCAGCAGGGGTACCCTGATTGGACCTGTCTAGGCTAATTTGCCCAGGCCACCTCATCTTCAACAGTCATCAATCGAAGCTTATTGTAGAACCAACTCCCACCCTACCTGGGCCTGGGCCCCAGCTTAAATCTTGGGTTTCAACCCCACCCGTTCTCAGTTCCCTGACTCACGCTGAGCCCTCAAACTATACCCAGATGCTCCAAGTCCTTTATCCGAACTTAACTCTCAACTGGTCTCAGACCTTACTCATGACACCATCCTCCCCCAAATCATTCCCAAACGCCCACCTAAGCTGTGGCAGGGCCCCCATCAAAAGAAAGATCCAACTCCAATGTGCTCTGCACTCAAGATAGTTCCAAAGAGCTGACTAAAGCCAGGAGCGAGACTGAAGCGCTGTGAACAGGAAAATAACACATCTAGGAATTCTGCAGTTGTGAAACTCCACTCATGTTTTAGATTCCCAATTCAAAAGCCAGGTCGAGGGGGCTGGAGACATGGCTCAGGAGTTAAGAGCACGTACTGCTCTTACAGAGGACCTGAGTTAGGTTCCCAGCATCCACATCAAGCAGCTCACAACCACCTGTAACTCCAGTTTCAGGGTATCCAAAGTCTTCTGACTTCTGCAGGTACCTGTACTCATACGAACATACCCCCCATATACATAATTAAAAAAAAAAAAGTCAGTCATGTGTAAACTGATAAAAACTGTTAAAAGCTGAAGAGACCACCCCTACCTGTGACCTAGTATATTCACATCAGCAGAGGGCTGAACTTGTATCTCAGTGATGGAGTGCTTGCCTAGCATGCACAAGGCCCTTGGTTCCATTCCCAGCAAGAGCGTGTAGCCATTCCCAGCACGAGAGTGCGGGTGGGAGAGAGAGAGAGAGAGAGAGAGAGAGAGAGAGAGAGAGAGAGAGAGAGAGAGAGAGAGAGAAAAGTAAAAACTTTGACACTACAAAAGGTCCTGATGTAGTTTCATGCTTTGCATCATGGCTCCAAACTGGAAAGAACTCAGACTTATCAACAGAGCAGATAACCAAAAACTGCTAGGTCCATACAACGGAGCACGCTACGCAATGGAAAAGAACAGACTCCGGCTTCATGCACACTACTGAGCCTCATAGGCTAAGTGAAAGTCACCAAATGCAAATGCAAACATAAAGCTTTGAATCTAATCCATGAAGTTCAAAACCCAGCAAGCTAACTGGGCCCAGTGACTCGGGCTAGGACTACCAGGACTTGGGAGGTGGAAGCAGGAGAATCAGGAGCTCAAAGTCATCTTCAGCTATGCATGAGTTTGAGATCATCCTGGGTTAAATGAGATCATGTGTCAAAGACAAAACAAAACAAAAAATTGGGGCTGGCAAGATGGCTCAGCAGGTAAAAAGCACCTGCCACCAAGCCTGAGCACGCGAGTTCAGTCTTTGGAATCCACATAGTGGAAGGAGAAAACTGACTCCTAAAAGCTGTCTTCTGACCTCCACATGCACACCATAGCTTGTGCCCTCCTCAATAATAATAAATAATAAAAAATTTTAAGCCGGGCATGGTGATACACTCCTTTAATCCCAGCACTTGGGAGGCAGAGGCAGGTGGATCTCTGTGAGTTCAAGGCCAGCCTGGTCTACATAGTGAGTTCCAGGACAGCCAGGTCTGCAGAGTGAGACCCTGTCTCAAAAAAATTTTTTTTTTAATTCACAAAAACAAGCAAACTGATCTGAAGTGATCAGGCTGGCCCAAACTCTCTATGCAGCTGAGGATGATGTTGAGTTCCTGATCCTCCTGCCTCTACCTCCCAAGTGCTGGGATTTTAGCCCTGCACCAGCACACCCCATTTATGCAGTGCTGAGAATTGAACTCTGGGCTTCATGAATGCTGGGCAAGCACTCTGCCAACTGAGCTACCTCCCCAGTCCTTCATTACTTTGGCTTTAAAGTAAACCTCATTCTGTAGTCCAGGCTGGCCTCAAGCTTCCAACAATTCTCCTGCTTCAGCCTCCTGCTGGGATTACACAGTGAGCCGCCTTGCCTGGATGCCATGTTTCAACACAGAACAGAAGCAATAGCCTGGGTTTGTAGCTCAGTGGAACAGTGCTTGCCTATCACCATGTTCAAGGCCCTCGGTTTTATCATCACCGCTGACAAAAATATTAAGGGGCTAGGGAGATAGCTCAGTCACTAAAGCGCTTGCTGCTCAAACACTAAGATCCGAGTTCAATCCCAGCACCCACGTAAAAAGCCAAGTGTGTGCTTATAATATCAACACTACAGAAGTGGGGGGAGACTGGAGGTGCCCCAAGGCCAGCTGGCCAGCCACTACAGCCTAATCTTCAAGCCTCAGATCCTAGTGGTAGACTCAGTCTTAAAAAATAAGTTGGAGGGTGCTGGAGAGATGGCTCAGTGGTTAAGAGTACTGGCTGCTCTTACAGAAGACCTGGGTTAGATTCCCAGCACACACATGAAGCTAACAACTGCCTGTAACTCCAGTTCCAGGGGATCCGACAACCTCTCCTGACATCTGCTGGCATTGCACAACACAGGTGCACTTACATGCATGCAGGCAATACACTCATACACATAATAAAATAAAATAAAATAGCCGGGTGTTGTGGCACACGCCTGTAATCCCAGCACTTGGGAGGCAGAGGCAGGTGGATCTCTGTGAGTTCAAGGCCAGACTGGTCTACATAGTGAGTTCCAGGACAGCTGGGGCTACAGGGAGACCCTGTCTCAAAAAGACCAAAAAATTAAATTAAATTAATAATAAAATAAAAAGTTGGAGGAGCCAGGCATGGTGGCACACACCTTTAATCCCTGCACTTGGGGAGGCAGAGGCAGGTGGATCTCTGTGAGATCAAGGCCAACCTGGTCTACCTAGTGAGTTCCAGGCCAACTGGGACTATAAAAAAAAATAAAAAATAAAATAAGTTGGAGGGCCAGTGAGATGGCTCAGGGGGTAAAAATGCTTGCTGCCAGGCTTGATGATTTGAGTTGCTCCCAGAACCCACATGTTGGAAGGAGAGAACTGAGAACTGACTCCAGCAAAGTTGACCTTTGACCTCCACATGCACACCTACTCATATGCACCTGCCCGCCAACCCACACACTTACACACAAATAAATTAATGTAACTTTTTTTTTGGTATTTTTGAAACAGGGTCTCCCTGTAGCCCCAGCTGGTCTGGAACTCACTATGTAGACCAGGCTGGACTCGAACTCACAGAGATCCTCCTGCTTCTGCCTCCCAAGTGCTGGGATTAAAGATGTGCACCACCACGCCCGGCATTATTGTAACATTTAAAAAAAATAAAGTAGACCACTCCTGAGGTTGACCTCTGACCTGCACACACAGGTGCACACATGTGAATGTGCACCCCCCCATACACGCGCACCGGCACACAAGAACACACAGACGCACATAAAATAATAAATTATAATGATAATAATAATACAGTAAAAACAGTCCAACACATGTTCAATAAGGTGTAGGCTGGGAGGGCTAGGGAGGGAAGCAGGTGCTTAGGAGCTCAGGCCCAGGGTTCAGGGGCTGAACAGCTGCCAATAACAATAGAGGAAGATGCGAAAGGAGCCAGGCGATGACTGGTTCCCCAGCTCTACCTCACCCAGACCTCAGTCCTTCTCCAGACAGCTACTAACCCTCACTGAGCCCTGAATCCTACCCATGTAGCTTCCCTGTAGCCCACCTCTCATCTCCAACAGTGTCCACACAGTCCAGGGCAACCCTTTCTATACCCAGCTCTGCCTTACAGCCTGGCATTCAGGGGATTGTCACCACCCTCCACGCTGTCCATGCATCCTGCTCTTAACATACAGAGCATCTCTCCCTGCCTGGGCTCTGCCTGACACAGGGCCACGTGTGGCAGGTTCTGTGACTCCTACCTCACTGGCCAATGTCTCTCCTGCCCACAGATGGGGAAGCCGCTGATCTCACCATCCTGGAAATTTTACCACACTTACCGTGTTCTCTGCTGTTAGGTGTTTTTTCTCCAAAGTTCACATGCTCCATCTACCCTCCAGTTTCTCTGAATGTGACTGAATTTGGAGATGGTGTCTTTTTTTTTTTTTTTTTTGAGACAGGGTCTCCC